TCTTTAAATTATCGGTTCTTAAAGTGTAGTCCCTTGGCCAGCAACATCAGCATCATCTAGGAACTTGTTAGAAATGCAAATTTTCAGCCTCATGCCAGACCTACTCTCTTAGTCCATTTCCTATTGCTTTTAACAGAATATCTGAAACTGGGTGTTTTATAAGGAAAGGAATTTATTTCTTATAGTTATGGAAGCTGAGAAGTCCCAGGTTGAAGGGCTGCATCTGGTGAGAGCCTTCTTGCTGGTGGGGATGCCCCGAAGGGTCCCGAGGCCATGCAGGGTATCACACGGTGAGGGGGCTGATGTGCTGACGTGCTGTGCTCAGGTCTCTCTTCGTTTTCTTATACAACTGCCAGTTCCACTCCCATGATAACTCATTAATCCATCAACCCTTTAATCTATTAATCCATGGATGGATTAATCCATTCATTAGGGCAGGACTTTTATGATCTAATTGCCTCTTAAGGGCCCTACCTCTCCATTCTGCCACATTGGGGATTAATTTCAGCATGAATTTTGGAGGGGGCATTCAAAGCATAGCACCTGCAATTAGAAATACTGGTGCTGGGGCCCAGCCGTTTGGGTTTTGAAAGGCTCTCTGGGTGAATCTATCTGGGAACCACTGCTTTAGATTAGCAGGGCTCAATACTGACTGTATATTAAATCACTTGAACAAACTTTAATTGATCTAGCCCTACGCCATAGCATTTGAATCTTTGGGGGTGGGGTCCCAGGTACCAGGACTTCAGAAGCTTCAGAGGTGATTGCGTTGTGAGGCCTGCACTGTGAAGCACTGTGTTAGCTGTTTTCCTGAGGGCCTTGGGAAGGAAGTGTGCTCTCTGTGGGAAGGGCTGGGAGGCACCAGAACAGATGGATGTGAGGTTCTTTCCTTGCCCTCCTTTCCCCACCACATCCTGTAGGAGCATTTCTTTCTAGGAACTTTCCCTAGGAACCCCTGTCCATGAGCATGTCTCTGAGGAAAAGGCTGTAAGGACGTAACAAAGTCACAGGTGTTTGGCAGGATAGAAAAAGGCCAAGGCAGGCACATGGCTAAAGGGCCTCTCCAACAGAGAACCAGCTTGGATGAGAATTCCCTGAAATTCTGGGGACGACTTAGTGACCTTGGAGGATGTTAGCTGAGCTGTCTGTGTAATGAAGACCCAAGAGGTCAATAGAAATGAAGATGGTGCTTGGAGTCTTTGATCTTTCCAGCTCTCTCCCAATCTTAATGTTATGCCAGTTGCAGCAGTGAGTCCTGCCTGTCAATCCGAACTGCACGTAAAGGACCTGGAAACCTACTCCAAAAAGCTGGGAATCCACACAGGTCTCACCTGGAAATGACTTCAGTGGGATGTGCGGTAGGATGTGGTGGCCACTGCAAACCATAACTGCATCAAAGATGGCACTTTGCTCCTGGCCGTGGCTCTGGGTGACAACCTTCCATTGGCCGGAGGATGAAAAATCTGGGCATTTTTTCACACCAACGACGGTTGTCTTGAACAAATACAGAGAAGGCATCATTGAGAATTACCGTGGCATAACAGGGGCCTTGTTCAGGGCGCTGCAGTAGGGATGGGTAGAATGTGATGACTAACTCCATTTGGGTTTCATCTGAGTCCGATTTCAAGCCACTCAAGGCAAAGACTGCCAAGACTGCCTTTCTCCTGGCTGCTTTGTGCAAGAGGCCTGCCTCAGCAGGGGGGGCAGTCTGTAAAGAGTGTCAAGTACTCAATAAGAACTTGAGAGATAAAAGAAAAGGAAGGGAAGGTCTTGTGAAAGTTGTCAGAATGAAAATGGAGTCACTAATGTTAAGAAAACCCTGA